ATATGTGTGAATTCTGAAATATTCTAAGATTTCTCATTCTATAATTTTGATTTCTGATGAAATTTTATAAAATCTAAAAATGTTTATATTTTTTTAGAAATCATAAACTGAGAAATCTTATAATATTTATATAAATGTTTATGTATGTGTGTATATAGATATATATTATATACATAAATATACATAGTTTACACCGAGTTCTAGTTTACTTCGAGTACTTGATACGCATATTAATTAATAACCCAAGCAGAACAACAAGTTATGACATCAAAATGATATCAAAATGACTCCAAAATGATCATTAAAAGTCATTTTTCAATCATTTGTGATTCATTTTAATGTTATTTTGACATTTTTGTGATTTGCTGTTTTGCTTGAGAACTTTCTATTAAATTATTTTAATTTCGGTAATACATTTAAAAAATGATGTACTAAGTTTGATACAATATGTATCTAGATGATTTATTAAATAACCATATTGTACATACATTTACACGCATCGTCGAAATTAAAATAATTTAATAGAAAGTTAGTTACTGGTTAGTACGCGTACTAAGTGCTCAATGTAAACAAAGTCATATATAAATGTGTGTGTGTTGTAAATGTATATATTCTTAATTGTAAAAATATTTGCCATCATAAACAAATTGTCGTTCTATATGTTTATACATAATCTTAATAATTCACGAATTTATTAATATATATAAAATTAAAAAATTCAAACATTTAGAATTAATTAATAAAAATTAAAATAGCTCTCACGAGATTATACATGGCATGACACTCTGCTACCATTCTATTCTCACCTATGCCGAATTGCGTAATACAAGGATTGGACAACAAGCGTAAGCATATCAAGTAATTCTGTGATTTGCTATATGGAGTGATTTGTTGTATCTTAACTTTTAATACTTGTTCTATGTCTTGTCTGATCTCATACATCAGACATGAATCTTCTCTGGGATATTTATCCAATATAATCTGCATTTTATGTATCATACAATACGTAATTTTATTGGAATAATTATTTCCAAATAACATATGGAAGTCCTTGAGTATTAAAGGATTGATTTCCTGATTGATTATATTAGTTCTTTTAGTACATTTCAGATAGAGCGACTTTGCATTTTCCGATAACTTTTCCACTGACAAAGTATCTTTGTTAACACATTCCGATATTTTTGTACCTAATTCTCGTATATTATTCTCAAGTGTCTCCCTATCATTTACGGCAATATGAGTGTCCACGTTTTTATTAGCTATTATATTTGGATTCAGATGTAATAGCATTTTTTTCGCAGCTTCTTGTTTAGCGAACTTCTTACACTGTCCTGTGCCTCTTTCACATAGTGATCCCAAGCTGACTTTTATAGTAAATGTTTTCATATGAGGTAATCCTTCGTCATAGATAAGTTCGTACCGAATATCTTTCGCTGATATTTGTCGTTGTTGGCAGAACTCCTGTACATAGAATAAAAATTATATTATTCTGATGATTAGTTTTTGAACTGTAATATTTGACAGGTAACTCATGAAACTTACTTGCAACATTCCAATGTAATTATGTTCAACAGTGAACTGTTTATTTGAATTGTATTCTTTTGGAAATGATACACTTGATGTGTTGAAAACTTTTTCAGGATTTTGTGATACGTTGGTAACTATTGGTGAAGTAACTATTTGTGGAGTAACTACTGATGAAGAAATTTTACGATTTGTGGCTAACAGTGACAGCATGTTTCTTGCAGCATTATGTTTGGCTTCTTTTTTTGTACTCCCTGTACCATGTGTTATCAATTCTTTACAAACCACGTTACATATAAATTCCTTCTTGTAATTAATATTGTTTTCGGAAAAATTATAAATAGGCATAAAGCCTCGTTTAACCGAAAGTTCTTGTAACAAATTAATTTCTGACTTGGCCATCTTATAACTGAAAAATACACAAAATATTTTGTTTAAGAAATATAAGATAGTAGCACATCACATTACATAGAAGAATTTGCAATTATATATATTTTTAATATGATTGACTAGTATATTAAATTTAAAATAGATTTATTTAATTAAAAATATAAATATAATTTATAGAAAAAACAACTGTCAAAATCTCGATAAAATTTTATCTGCAATACGAAATAATATTGTTTTATTTTTCACATATAGATTTTTTTTTCCTTTATATACTCGACGAATCTTTCCAGAATGTTCTCTTACCGTTGACGGTATAATGTAGGACATAATTGTTTAACGCAATCTCGATTATTCCACGTCACTATGTTCCTCGTTTATTCGAACGAAATCAGACATTGCGTTCCTCTATTCCGTATTTTATTAGTTCCTTTTTTACACATTTACACAAATATTCGATGAAAAATTTACTGTTAAAATAAAAAAGACTGTAGACTCTAATACTGGCCCTTGTTTTTTCTATTTCTTTCTCAGAGGAAGGGACTTCAAACAGTTCGAACTACTTCGAACTACTTCTTACTAGTATCTGGAACTTCAAATGGTAAAAAATCGAACAATGACTAATTTCTTTATTTCTAGATAAGTTATTCTAGATAAGTTACTGATAACTTTGTCCATGGGATATTTTCTAGATATCTCCAAGATATCTCATTTATGAAATATTTGGGAGATATCCGATAGATAAAATCATCTAGAAATGAACAATTTGGCCATAAGCCCAATGAGATTGAAAATTAAAAGATTGAAGTTTGGTCAATCAGAACAAAAGGAGCCAAAATTTCTTTGTCCTCATTGGTAAAATTTCAATCTTTAATCTTTTATCTTCATTCTCTTTAGTCTGATTCCGACTTAAGAGAAACTTGAAAAAATAATACGACCAATCAGCATCATTTATGTTTAGTGCGTTCATGAAACGCATAATATGATTGGTTACTTATCGACTATCATGAGATAGCGTCCTAAAGCATTTTCTAAACATTTGTTACATATCGAAGCACAGCGATATCGAAGCACAGGAAAGATAAAAGTTACACTACCGAGGCGAGGTAATTATTTTTGATTGGTTGCTTAATATCTGCTAGGAACGCTAAAGAATTTGTCCTTTGGACGACTCGGTATTATCTACGTCATAAAGAAGCTATCAACTGTCAGGGGTCGGGACAGGACAGAAGTTTACTAATACAGTGAGAGCAAAAAATATTTGTACAAGGACTTTTATAAAAAAATCTTATTTGTAGAAAATAAACATTAATTAGTAATTTTATACAATAAATACATTCTGTTCTAACATAAATAACCGATTTCGCATGTATTTCTGATTTTAGAAGCTAAATTTCTCGACTGTATTTAATCATCTGTATTTAATCGACTTTTTAATCATCCAAACAATACAATTTTTAATTTTTGCTTATTTTTTAGATAATATATTTTCTATAATTAATACACATCTTTTTGGTATATATAATTTTAAAAGACATACAGTCTATTTTATTCTTTATGAATAAATTGTTAATTATCCATCGCACAAGGATCGTCAATTAAACGTTGAATCGACATAAAATTAATTGAAATCATTATATCGATATTCATTCGACATCAATTCGATGATTCATTTCTTGCTGGATATGTTGACTTTTAAAAAATAAAATTAAAAAAAAAAAAATTTTCTCTGTATGAATACTTCGTATTTTTTGCACTCAGTGTATGTAAAGTGGCGGAGATCAGGTGGAGACTAGGGTATCGATAATGTAACTTTTTTTCTAGAACGAAACGTGAAAAGTGAAAATTTGTATGTATTGTACATATGTACATATATACATACAAAAAATTTTCACGGTTTCGCCTTGGAAAAAGTTATATGATCGATACTCAGGATTCGAATCCTGGAACGTCCTGATATTTTTCGTGTGTTGTCGCGTTGTCGCTTATTTTTTACAGAATGTAATAATAAGCTAAACGCACCAGTGATCGAACGTGTACATATACGTTGTCGAAAATTTTCACAAACTGAGGAATGACCACATTTCTACATTAATGCCCACAATCCATGCCTTTTCTTTCTCTCGTTCAAGAAGTTCATATGAAGTCGCCAATTCCATTCTCGTCTTCCGAAGGAGAAAATTCTTTGAGAAGATTTAGGACCTCAGCACACAAATAGTCATAACTGACAATGAGTCGTGAAACACAAGGACAAGGAGATGCGTAGTCGACGCACAATATTTTGATCAATTTTTAACTTACGTTCTGCGACATCTTTGTGCTTAGACTTTTTGGTTGACGAGTTAAATTTGAACGGCATTCTGCTTCTTCATATTCCTAGTTTTATTTAAAAAATTTGATTTTCTTTCTGAATTTCTACTAGATCTTGTGGAATTTATCAACTAATATTGTCTCTGCTGCAATCGTCAACCTCAATATTACACCATCTTTTAGAAGAATTCTTCCACGTTGTCACCATTTGCGGAATTCTTCTCACAATAAAGCCATCATTTACTGACAATAAAGCCAATGAATATTTGGAAGTGACTTTTGAATCAACAATCAAAACGAGAATCCTATCCGAATAACTCGATCCTAGAGTCTTGAGAAGCTGTGGTCACATAGGAATATCTTTGACCTCAACGTGCCGATCACGTGATCATTCACTATTTTAATGTCAGGGCCGAATAGAAGAAAGTGTCCTATCTATTTTCCAAAGATATTTGTAGAATTGTTGATGTACGTAAACAAAGTTTATTAATGCCTAGCCATCCGAAGTTACATACATGTAGGAGAAAGCATAAGAAAGAATGGAAAGAAAGCATGAAAAGAAATAAGAAATGAATGAACAAGAAAAATGAAATGAATGAGAAGGAATGGCATGACCAGACGTTTGTGTCCCCGTGCATACATATATACGTTCCTGTCGTTTTGCATTTCATTAGATTCAAAACAAAAGCTGCGCAGTCATGCTTGCGTGAACACGCATTTTTTTCGTGGAGTGTTCCTACTGGTTAACTGTGTTAACTCTAGGATATAAATATTACATTTTATCATACTCTACGTATGGGTTCTGCACCCCAAGAAGGCTGTCACAGAATCTTTCGATCTATATTATGCATGGTATCATCCTTTTGATCGGAAATTCAGGCAAGGACAGATTTATAGAAGAAAAAGAAGTTTATATAAGGTCCTGTCCATTTTATGTAAGTTCTACCTAGTAATAAAATGTTCATTCTGGACTTTAATATCTCTGAAAAATATAATAAAAATTTACAAAGCAATTGTTTTTTGTTTAGTGTAATTCATGAAACTTTTAGAGGAAAGAAACTCATCTGAAATGTTATAATGTTAGTCTCCTGGAGATGCTAAATAATATTTGCGCTTTATTTCGCACTCCACACCAAGAACCTTGCTATTGCCATCGTTTTTTCCATGGGATAAAATTTTGATATTCTAAAAATATTTTTTAATTTAAGAAACTTCTATATGAAAAAGCATTAATTCTATTGCATTATTCTTTTCTTGTGTTAATATAATTTTAAATAAAACGTTTTATTTAAATTAAATAAAAAAATATTTTATTTAAAATTATACATTTAAGTAATCTGTCTCGTGAAAATTTAAATAATAATTTAATATTCAATTTTTTCATATTTGATCTTAAAAAAAAACTTTCGCTTACTGTGTGCCAATGTTTCGACAAATTTCTGGATTCGCCAATGATTGAATGGTATACTTCAACGATGTAAGAAGAGCATGTAAGTTTATACATTATATCGATTTACGCTGAATGTCGAAATGTATTATTTAAGTATCTTTATGGACAGACATAAAGACTCGTTTTCTCTTCTATCAAAAATGCATCTTCTAAACTCTGGATTCTACGATTATTATGCGCATATTTGCATGATGGAAGTAATATATTTCTACCATAAGTATTTGTAGTTGAAGGAAGTTAGGTGATACATGTTTGTATTTTAATTTTTAATTTTTGAAATTTTGAGTAAATTTCTCAATACAGAATACAAGTAAAAACCTTCGCCTTATGGCGATTGATAGAGGAAGGTTCAAAATTTTTTCATCTATAATTTAGAATCTCGCAATACCAATCATTCAGATTAACTGTTTAAAACTTTTATTTTGGATCCAAATGAACTGTTCTTGTATATAATCGAGAGTTAAAAATTAAATGTTGCAATTGCTGAAAGAAAAGAATGATAAAGGAAATAATTGAACAATAATGCCCAATTTTCTGTAAAGCTAATAATAATGAATACAACATTTTTTCTGAGAGCTTTATTGTCACATGAATAACAATAAAACGACTGACATGTCTGGTAGCCGTTAAAGAGCTGCCTATTATAAACGTTTATACAAATTGAATTTCTATTCGATACTATTTGATCACCATCGTGACGCAAGATATATGAGAAAAATGTTAGAAATTGAAAGAAAAATACATACAAAAGCGCCACTATCCCACGCCTTACTTTACAAAAAAGATCTGCTCAGAGTGACATTAGCTCAGTGTGTTTTGTATAAGGGTTGTTTTCGGCTTTCCAGCATCAGATGCGTTTAGGAAGCTAAAGGTATGTCTAAAAATGACAACTTTGTACAACAAAAACCTTCCTCTTATTAAATATCTTATTTAATATATTAAAATCAATAAAAAAAAAGGGAATTTTTCCTTATACCAATATCCATTTTTTGCTCTTATCAGTCATTTAACTAGTTAATAATTAGTGAATAATTAATTAATAACTAATTAATAACTAATTAAATGTTATATATAATTATATAAATCACATTATTACAAATGTGTAATTTAATTAAATATTTTCCAATTCTTTTTGATTAAAAAATGTCAATTCTATCCAAAAATTCCATTCTTTTTGATTAAAATTTCGTCTATATTCTAATTTATAAACTGAATTAGAAGTTATTATTCTCAGAAAAACTCATGCTAACAAACTTTTTCGTTAGAAAAAGTTTACATCATTATTATCATCATTCAACATTATTTCATTCTTTATTAATAATGAAAAAATTTATAAATAAAATAGTATCTCGAAGTAAAATCACATAATAATTGCAACCATTGAGTTCCTGAAACGCATCCTGTTTATGTCGACTATGTTTTACTAAAGTTATATATTTATTTCTATAATGCAGTTCCATTCGGTTTTTACACTCATTGTAATCGTGTGTTTTGAAATGTCTCTTGCACTTCTTCCCTCAATCATTTCGGAATGGCCAACAAAATCGGTCTTTGTTATCTATATTTCAGTAGAAAAAGTACACAGTATGGTACAAGCGATTCTTGCAGTATTGCAAGTTTCAAAGCATTTTTTCAAGAACATATGTTTTATACAAAGGATTCGATATTTGATTCGTTGGAATTTTCAGAACGTTAGGAGCCTTTTGATGATTCATATTGCACATAAGCAACGTTTCCATGATTAAGCGCACTGGCACGGTTTTGGATTATTATTATAATAAATATTTCCGAATAAAATAGCTAAGAATAAAATGACAAAAGTAATTGAGTCTTATTGTGTACTTCGAATATCATTCGAAAGACGGTGGAAGAAAGAGAAGTGATGAAGCATGTTCATAACATGCCAAAACCTTTTGAATAATTGATTGCTTTCAATAAGCGATCTTGCAATTTTTCTATTGTACTGTAATCTGGTAACAGTAACACATTGAAGCATGTGTGTGCTATTGGTAATCTAAAAATATACGTTAATATATGTATATAAATAAATATTTGTATGTATATATGTATATATATATATAAAATTAGTAAAATATAATCAGCGTAATATAAATATTACCTGTCAGAATCAGGACCATGTCGGGCAATGACCATCTTCAGTCTCGAAAGACCGCCGACAGGTACTCGATCGCTACCCGTAGTGAATTGAAGAAGTCTTCGTTGACTTTCTGGTGGTAAGGAATGCGCTACACGCCAAAAGTTACGTACCGCTTTGCTATCCACGGTATAGCCACCTTCGTACTCCGTAGCTGCTTCCAGCTCAGCAAAATCAAATATTTTGCTTCCACAAACGAGCTACGCGTATGTTGAATAATTTCATTAAAATAAATTTGATATAACGTATTCTTTACGCCATATCAACGATTGTACCTGCTCAATCTCTTCAGGTCTGAAGAGTAATGCGAGCGGACTCTCGTCTGAAACCATTTGGAAGCCACGTCTGAAAGCGTTGAATTGTCTCTCCACGGATTTGTTAAGCAAGAAATCCGCATAGAGATCAACAAATTCCTTTTTGTTTTCCTGCGTAACATACAATTCATCACCATTCTCTTTGAGCTCATGGAACGATAACGATCCAAACACGTCTCTATAGAAAAGATGCAGTGAGAAAATACAATAAAATTCTTATCAGTATAATAATTAACTTATCGAAAACATACCTGTAACTCACTCGGAAAGTTTGCATAAATGTCTCCGACATGTCATCTCTCGTATACTCTATTAATTCTTTCATTGTTCGATACAATGTCGGACTCCAATCCTCCAAATCCGGAAAACCGCCTTTCCTGCCTAATAATTTTCTATAGACTACCATTGGAAAACGTACATCCAGAATTACATTGTTATAAATTGCTAAACCAATAACGATGCCTATTAATGTAAACTGTGCGTCACTCTCAAATGATGTTGGATTAAACCATGTCATTTGTGTATCTTCCTAAAATAAAATAGTAATTATATCTTATAAGTTATGAACATACAAAAAAAAGTATTAAGGGGATCTTAAAGTCGTCTGTATTACCGACTAAACCATATAATTTTTGTATAACAATTACTTTTTTCCTCTCTTTTATTGAGATCTTTATCATTTTTTGGCGTTATTCCAATATGGCGTTCTAGAGCTGTTATATCGTGACAATATTTCATATAAAACCTATGCAATCTGTACTTACGAAATAGTAATTCACAGACTAGTAGTTTGCATGAAAAAATAGTGCAGTTCTTAAAATTGCACTTAGACGTCTAAATTAAAACGTAATTGTTATACAAAAATTTATGTGTATGTGTGGCATGCGTGAATAAGATATTGATGTAGTGCTGTGTCAGCGACACGTAAATCATCTGTGTATAAGTGTTGTTTACAATATGATTAGTCATCTTTAGGATCTCCTTAAACACTAAAATAAAATAAAACAAAAATATAAGAGTTACATAAATTTACTTGGTCGTGCAAATTCTTACCTGAGTGGTAAACATGCCAAAATCAGGATTAAATATCTCTTCAACAACTAATTGAAAGAATTCTTTAGATACACCTCCTTCGTCAACACCTTGTTCTCCCTCGAATTCGACAACTAATTGCTTTTTTAAATCGGATGGATTTTCCATCGCCACCATTTCCAATTCCACCAATGCGTCATCTATTAAATGATCTCTTCGTACCTGTTTAAGTTAAAAGCAAAATTTACACTGATTTTTTTTCCGAAGTTAATCATATCATTATTCATCTTCGAATCAACAAACCTTTAATCTGAGATATGGATTAGTTGGTTGCCCGACAACGGTTTGCAAAAAGCTCATACGTCGTTCGCTATACATTCTGATACGATTATCATAATACAAGCCCAAAGTTTTAGTAGCCGGCGTAAGAATAAAAGCATAATTCATAAAGCTAAATTTCTGTGGCTCTTCGCTTTTGTAATAAGCGAAATCTTTGTCCATCTCTATGGCATCGCTAAGTGGCTCATTGTAAAAATCAGTAAATGGTATGAAAGGTTTACGTGCATCCAGTGCAGTAATTCCTAATTCTGTCGCTAATAGATCCTAAAATATATATTGCTCTTTTATTTATCATACGAAATAATGTATACCAAATTAAGCTAATTAACAGAGATGATACCTGAGGGATCTGTCCTGATATTGCTGATCGTGAAGCATTTTTATCGCTACTAGCCGGTTCACTTTCGTCGCTCAAAATTAACTCAGGAGGATCTAATTCACCAGCCAACATACTTGCATAATATAGAATTTTCATAACTTTCGTAGGCGCGGTAATAGTGTCTGCATCTTGCACGCAATAATCACGTGTGAAAGATCCTCCAATTACCTTTAACACGATACCAAATCTTTTATGATCGAGAAATAAATATACTTATTGTTTTAAGACCTAAGCAAGTGAAATAGATGCTATCGATAAAGTCGAGAGAATGTACCTTGACAGTTATGAGTTCTTGAAGTGCTTGCAGAAGGCTTGGAAGTCGCGATTTGCAATGTTTGGCCCATACGCGTGCTAACTTGGCTTGGGCCAATACCGGCACACAGCTCAACGCTTTACACAGCATATGCAGAGCCAATTCCAAATATTCGCTATTTCCAAGCATTGGAATTTCAAAAACAATGAGAAATACATTTAACAAACTATCCATGCTGTCCCAACGTACCATACGAAATACTCTCAGATCTAATTCTATGTCATCCGCTAAAGTGACTAGCGCATTGACGAGAGCTGATTCAAATACCTCACCTAATAAAATGTGGAAAACATATGTATTTAATTTAATTAGAAAGGTATCGATGTTAAAATAGCATTCAAAATCGTATTTATTCATACCTGGCAGAGACCAAAGTGCTTCAAAAGCTCTACGAACCGATGGTAAGTCAACACTAGTATCGTCATTATTAGGAACTGTAGGTGATGGATCACTGCTATCTTCTTCTTTATCTTCTCCCTGTAAAGATCGTACCGCTTCTTTATTCAAATCTGCGGGTGGCCTTAACAAACTGTCTGGTGCTCGTTCAAGAAGTGCCGTCAAAGGAGAATTATTTTTCTCAGTTTTTTGAAAACTGAGACTTAATGCTTTTCCAGAAGAAAACACTTCTCCCAAAGTACGAATTAATAAAGAATATGAATCTTCTGCTTTACATTTTTCTATAATATCCAGAAGCTTAACTTCCGTAAGATATGACTCTTGTTTTCCTAATGAAAAACGAAAGTGTTATTTGCATTAAAATATAATTGGATAGTCTTGCATAATGCCTGATACAATAATTAGATGTTTTGCTTCAAAAATTAAAATTTTACTGAATCAAATAAATACCTTCATCAGAGCTTGTAGAATTAACACTTTTTACAGGTAGACTCTTAGCTAATGACGTTTGTCCAGGCTCTATAGTAGTTCGAGCAACTTTACTGGGTTGTGTACCATCGCACAGTCTTGCTTCTTGCGAGAATAATTGTATCGCTTGTGCGGCTGCTTGATTTGGAGTAAGATTAGTTACCTAGCACAAAACCAAACAAGGTGCACAAAATATTATTTAATTTCTATTATAGTTTGTTGACAATTGGATTTTGAAAGTCATACTTTGCCACTGGAGGCACAATGCTGATTGTCACAATGAGGATTTCCACATCCATCCGTAAGTTGATAAAAGTAACGTTCGATGAGCTTCTTTGCAGCTGCGCGCTTCATGTCGCTGCAAGGGCTCTCAGCTCCTACCCTACAAAAATGATAGTACAACATAAAATATATATAAACTAAATTCTTAATACTTTCTACTGCACGATTATAAATAAATGTACTTTATATTTATAAAATTTTATTGTTCAATATGTTTCTAAAAAAAAAAACATTCAGTTTTTATGTCTGTACAAATGTCATTTCTCATATGTCTATATAAAAATATCTAGTCATCGGATGTTAGAAGATATTTGAAATTAATCAAGCAAGAAAGAAACTATTAAAGAACAAATATCATAGAAGAATTCCCTAATAACTAGAAAAAGATGAAGAGTAATTGAACCGAAATAACAATTAATCTACATTGATAGAAATAAACATAATTCTTAGAATTGGAAAAAAAGATACAAAATAAATTAAAGTTTAAAAAGATTAATCTAACATTGTTAGAAATAGACATAAGACGATCAGTGTCGTTGCACCAAAACAAAAGCGCTAATAATAGACAGCCTCACGATTTCGCGATCTCACATGACGAAAGTAAAGTACGTTGCTGTAAACAAATCTTTTGTAGGAACGAGTGTTTATGAGAGAGACGGAGTAGCGGAGCGGGAAAAGGAGAAATAGGGAGATCGTGCCAAGGAATTGCGAGAGAAAAGACAGAAGGCGGCAAAGAACCTCCACAATGTTTCATGAGAACATCTCGATCCGCCGATCGTATCGATTTTAACACGCGTACGAATCGGAGATGTTCGGAGAACCGAGCGTTTGTTTCTCGATCACATAAACTCTCGGAACAATTCGCTGTCAAACACGCGACGACACGCTACTCCCCGCGAAAAAAGCAAGCGTTTCCTTCTTTCTAATTTTTTTCCTTTTATTTTATTTTTTTCTCTTTTACGGGGCGGACGCTAAAGGACGCAACCAACTCTCGTGACACCTGGAAACGTGATCTTCTCCAGGGTCCCCCTGACTCTTGGCGCTCATAGACCGTAAATCGTCGGAATTTTGCCTGTTTTGCTCGGCACAGGAAGCTGAGCCGTGGCCACCGCGAACTCGTCACCGCACTCCGATCGTCGCGCGCAGAAATTATCGCCGTCTACGCGACACGTCGGGATCCCTGCTACTTGGCAGTTTCGGCACCACAAAAGTTGGACTCCCGCGGAGCGATACGTCGCACAATGCTCGTCTGTGTTCTTTAAATGTCGCGTGTTGACAACGGTCACGTTCTTCACACAGTAGGACAAGGGATACTTTTCAATACGTCAGAAAGACACGGCGCGGGAGGGAAAGAGGAAAGAAGCGGAGGGGAGGGAGAGAGAGAGAGAGAGAGAAAGAGAGAGAGAGAGAGAGAGAGAGAAGGATAGAGTTTAAAGGCAATAGAAAAAAACATAGGGAATGAAAATAACGAAGAACGAAGTACGCAGGATAGAGAAGATAGATGGATGGAAGTGCGGGAGAGAGGAAGAGAGAGCGAGATCGAGAGAAAGAGATTTAAGACGATTTTTAAAGGGAAAATATCGATGTTGATGTCGAGAATCCGAGTGTTTTGGAGGTTAGGAAAATGGACGGCTAAGTTAATCGTCGCGATTTATGCGACGGGGACACGAATTCCAATCGGTTCGCGAAAATCAGAGAATTCGCTCGAGTAAAACAACCACCGCCGTCTTCTTTTGCTTTCTGTGTCTACTGACGTCTATCGTTTGCGATCAGCACCAATGGAGCCACGAGTTATCGCGGTGGTGCACGGCGACTCTCGATCCATCGTGATCGCGCGCGATCGTTGTGACATATCGATTTCACGATTTATCGCGCAATTTAAATTTTGCACACGTATATATTATGACAAATATATGATTACAATTATAACATAATATGATGTATTATATGTTTTTTAATAATTATGTGTATAATTTAAATATATTGTATTTTATTATTATATATTTCTTAAATATATGTATTATATTATTACACATTATTAGGCCCGATTCCACAAATGTAAGAGACTATTTATGTTCTTCTACATCCAAGAATTAGAAGAAGTTAAATAAATAAATTAAATAAATAAGTAAATAAGTTAAAATAAATTAAAACCAGATTAAAGTTAATCTTATACTTGAAAAGTAAAGTAATTCGTTTTAATATATTTTGTGACAAAAAAAATTGTATATTATGTAATTAAAAATTTTATCTTTAACTAGTTGTAATAATCTTTTAAAAATCTGTATATAATTATTGGAATTGTCATTATAATCATTAATATTAACTGTTACGATAATTACAGACAATAGTACAAATAATAACAAAAAATTATATTAAATCTTTGAATTAAGCAAATTATTTATTTTTTATATTAATACTTTATTTTTTTTTCCGTTAAAAATATACATATATTGTTCATAAAATGTGCATATGCGACTTGCATGAATACTCGTATTGTCTTACTACAATATAGGATTGGATCGTTCCATCAGTTCATTGATCCATGGAGACCTTTAATATTTTCTATCGCACTTGAAATTCTCGTAAAAAGATGTGACAGGAAATTACTGTCAGGTCGGATTTGTTTAAACAAGTATCAAATTAATGGAAGAAAAATTTTTTACGTGCGTTGGTGTGAAAGTAATGCATGAAAAGAGATGAATTGCGAGAGTAACAATTCGCACGCAAGAAAGATCTCATTGCTCATTGTTCAGGAGAATAAGCGGGTTCTATTTAATGACAATTACTCATCGGAAATCAATACGTCGACGACTTTCTGCGAGAAATCAGAGTAAATTGTTTTCAGTAACGTTACATAAGGTGATTAATGGAACACAAAATTATGCTGTTTTTTTTAATTGTTATGTACTTTCCTGGTACTTTGGAGTTGCCCAGAATTTATTCAAATAAACAATTAACAATTACAATTTTTAATTAATAGTTGATTATCAGTTTTCTAATTATGATTGTCTCATATATATATATCACCAAAAAACTTAATAAATTCCTCATTTTGCTTCAGAAGGAAATTAAAACTCAACTTTTAACCGCTAAGAAGAGTTTTTAATCTTCTCTTTTATACTTTATTCTCATTATTAGTACTAATGGAAAATGTCTAAGAGGAAGCCTGTAAGTGTCAGTAGAATGTGATTCTACTGACGATGAAATACTTAGCGATCGAAAATCATGTCAAAATCGATGTCAGAAAATCTTGCTTTTTATTTCTATGCCTCCCACGCGATCCCACATGGATAGATGCAAATCCTACATCACTCTCCTTGAGGGTAAACCTGGGCCAATCGTATGATATCGAGAAGATGGCCAAAGTGAGAGAGAGGGTGCAAAGGTTTAGAGCAGAGCAGCTCGCAGGAGCAGTAATATCGATCGATCCGGAATGGAGCTCGACAGGTCTCGGTTTCCTAATGCGGGGGCGAGAAAGAGAGAGAGAGAGAGAGAGAGAGAGAGAGAGAGAGAGAGAGGAGAACGAGAACGAGGAGAGAGTGTCGAGTAGGGTTGAGTTCTCCGAGGAGAGGCAAAGAGGGCATGTAGCAAAAGCTATCCTATAATCAGACAGACAGGCCGGTCAGCTGCCCGGGCACGGATCACTCTCGCGCTACTCGATCAGTCTTTCACATACACTTATCTTTATTCATTCGCCTTTGGCCTTTTTTCTTCTTTTCTTTTCGATCTTATGCTCTTTTTCATTTTCTTCTTATGTTCTTTCTTCCTGTAACTGCAGATCGACCTTGAAAGTATAGTGACAGTGCAAGTCTGACCTTGGCGAGTTACACTGTTAAGTAACTGTGTACTAACAGGTAGGTCAGTACTGTCGGCGGTTATCAACTATATGATAACCGGCGTTGTCCAACCTGTATTCTCGGCATACTTAAACGGATATTGATATGAATGATACGGTTTTGAATGATAAAGACTGATAAGTGTTATTTTAAATCGGGATTCACGGATGACTGATTTGTTCATTTTTATATTAGTCATCGTTCAGTTTTAATGTTAGCCTAAGTGATTCTGTGTCCGAAATTGGGATTAAAAAATGACAAAAGGAATGTAAATTTATAAAGTTAAAGTTGGTGAATCTAAACTTTGACCCAATAGATTGATTTGGAAAAAGTATAGAGCTATCTTTCTTTAATGTTGAAGAGTTTTTGATGTGTTGTTAAATAGATAGAGAAAGATTATAAAAGAGACACATGGTTTTTTATTACATAATTGCATTTTCAATTAACGTGTATGTTTGACATATACAAGCTTTTTTTATTCATTCTTGCATATCTTTTTTTATTGATATTTTTTTTAGTATCTGCATACATTTATTATACCGATATATTCTACGCTAAATTATCAAATATAAACGATATTAAACGTGTAATTATTCGTTATCAGATGCTAATTTAAAAGTCCTACATCAACTATAAAGCAGTTACAATTTGATTACATAATTAATTTTTTGCATTAGATTTCTAAAAAAAAGGTATTTGTACATAAATGTGGTTGAAAAATAAATACTAAGTACATAATCAAATTTTTGCGAGATTCACTCTGGATTTAAAATCTCAATAAACACGCGTAATTTTTTTGTAGTTTATTTTTCTTTGGCGAATAAGACAAAAACACAATTTTTGTTTAATTCAATCAAAGAAAAACGTTTTACCGTTTACATGTGTATGTACCAATTGCGTGATTGAATGAGCATGCATTTATGGAGTGTTAACGCGATAATAACGATTAGAGTATACATAATTATTGTTTAGCAGTGTACAGTAATCTTAAATATAGAGATAAAAAAGGGTGCGAATGTATCGCTCGTAAGAAAGTATTTGCTTTCTTGTAGTCTTTACGATAATTGAAGATAGGCTTTTGTGTTCAATGGTAGATAAATTTAATGAAGCTAAATCAGTAACGTAATCAGTAACAAAATAGTATTCAATGAAAAAACTTGTACACAGGACAAGAAATGGTTGCGTAAAAAGTTCGCTCACCAAAGAAAATTAATAATTTACATTGAATTTTATGAGCGCGACTTGATGACCATGAGAAAACGAAGAAATAATTAATATCACGGAGACCATAAGAGATCATATGTTTAAAGAATGGAAGAAACATCTTCAAGATTACGTCCTTACGTGGACTGGGATGTAAGCAAAGTTCACGTTAACTTAATAAATATTTTTACAGATAGTATATCGCGCGAGACAAGTATATCGTGTAAAAGCGTTTAAAATTGTTAAGTATTATTAAAATATTAAAATATAGTGTCGATTTTTTTTAGAACGAGGATAAATATTCAATAGCAAATAGTCAAGCACCCTTGCAGAGTGGCGAAGACGAACACTCGAAACGCGGAACCTGGACAGGAAAATTCGATTTTCTTTTGTCTCTTTTGGGATATAGCGTAGGCCTCGGAAATGTCTGGAGATTTCCGTATCTTTGCTACTCGAATGGCGGCGGTGCTTTCCTGATACCATTTATCGTGATGCTCATCACTACCGGATGGCCTCTTATGTTCATAGAACTTTCCTTAGGTGATTAAAGAAATCAATGGAACACTTTGAGATTCGTAGTACTATTTGCTCTATCATGTCATATGTATATATGTATACTGTTTTATGTTATTCTGCAGGACAGTACGCTAGTCTCGGACCGGTGGCGGTTTACGAACAGTTTTGTCCTTTGTTTCGTGGCTTAGGATATGGAATGGTTCTCGTTAGTTCCATTGTCATGCTCTATTATAATTTAATCATCGCCTGGACGCTGTATTACATATTTGCTTCAGTCAATGGTAAATAGTAATACGTACGTTAGGATATTCTGTGCATCATCTGATTTATTGATTGATAAAAAAGTAATAAATTTGAACAGCTGTTTATAAATAACACTGTTTGCGAGTAAAGGCATACTAAAAATAGAAACTACTGTTTTGCTCAAAGAATTATTTAAATAAACAAATTGCGCAGGTGGTTGGGAGTTACCCTGGAGTAAATGCGAGAAGAAATGGAGCACTGAGGATTGCTTTATGCCGGACGTTGCCGAGACTTGTGTCTCTCAAAATGCTTCTTATTTCAAAGGAAAATGCCTCAATTCAACTCAAATGACTGCGATGGGTCTGATTATCGAAAATATAACCGGCGCTATCAGAAAACCGCCATCCGAGGAATATTTTCAGTAATAACATATACGTCGTATAGATCGATGTTTTTTAATTGAGCTTTGTTCAATCTATTATTACAGGTCTTGTTAGTTTAATAATTTAATAAGTTTTAATAATTAAAAATTTAATTTTTTTATTGATGAAAAAAATTGTAATTTTAGTTTAAAAGTAATTTGCAATATTATATATTGAATGTATAACTTTCTTCTATCTTCAATGTATATGTTGTGAAGAGTAATAATTTTAAATAAGAAATAAAAGACAGAATATTTCTTTGCGTCTCTAGCAATCATGTCTTGGGGATCAGCAGTGGAATCGAAGAAACTGGATCAATTCGACCGCCTATAGCAATTAGCCTCTTTCTGGCGTGGTTCATTGTGTTTCTTTGTTTGAGCAAAGGCGTGCAAAGCTCAGGCAAAGTCGTATACTTCACCGCTCTTTTTCCGTATGTTGTTCTGGTACGTTCACAATTTTAACGTATGAGATACGATTAGTATATTTTAAATAAATAAATTTCTTTTTTATAGATTGCCCTTTTTATTCGTGGAATTTTACTTCCTGGTGCTAAGGAGGGTATACTTTTCTATCTAACTCCTGATTGGAGGAGACTCACATCCACCAAAGTATGGGGAGATGCTGCCGTTCAGACTTTCTTCGCTTTGAGTCCAGCCTGGGGCGGCCTGATCACTTTGAGTTCTTATAATAAGTTCACCAACAATTGCTACAGAGACTCTTTAATCGTGGCGATAAGTAATATCGCGACTTCCTTTTTTGCCGGCCTGGTGATCTTCTCGGTAATCGGCTTCCTTGCTCACGAGCTCGACGTACCAGTGGCGTCGGTGGTAGATGAAGGCCCTGGATTGGCGTTTATAGTTTATCCAGAGGTGATTATTGATTTTAGAGTTCGATCAAATCAATCTCGCATTTTTTCCCATTGATTTTCAACATCATTCTTGTGTAAAACAGAATAATTAGATAAATACATTTTCTCATCGATTTATACTGGTAGGCGTTCGAGTATATGTTTCAGGATCACCGACGATTCTTTGCATGACTATGCGTAGATTGTAGCTCGTCTGCCGGTCGCACCCATCTGGTCGCTCCTATTCTTCATCATGCTGCTCACTTTGGGCCTTGATTCACAGTTCGCTCTTATGGAGACCGTTACTACAGCAATACTTGATAGTGTTCCGTCATTGAGAAGCTACAAAGTTTGGGTCGTCCTAGGGGTTGCGATGTTCGGATATGCTGGTGGTGTCATTTTCACGACCAACGTAAGTTTAAGTTATCTTTAACAACTTCATTTCATTGATGATAGAATTGATTTTCAATATGTTATTACGAAAACTGTCTTTGTCTCTTTAGGCTGGCATGTATTGGCTGCAATTAATGGACAAGCACGCGGCGAATTCGTCCGTTTTGTTGATCGCCGTAATCGAATGCGTTATTGTGGCATGGGTGTACGGTGCGGATCGCTTTTTGGATGATGTTCAACAGATGATCGGACCTCGAGGTCGTTTATGGAGATTATTCTGGAAATGGATGTGGAAATTCGTCACGCCCGTGGCATTATTCTTTATCCTTTCTTTTAACTGGGTGGTGTACAAGGAGATCAAGTATGGAGCTTACATTTATCCGATATGGGCAGACACATTAGGTTATCTTATTGGTAGACTTCCCGTTCTTGTAATTGTCGGATTATTTATGGTAAGTTGAGACGTTCTCTTCTTAACTGATAACACAACACGTTGACGAATATTATACGAAAAGTTATTAATATAGGATCAGCTGAAGGGACGACGTTGGCGATCATCTTACGATAATGATGATAAAGATGATAACGATGATGAGGATGAGGATGAGGACGACGACGATGAGTTTAACGATAAGGGATGTTGCCAAAAAGCGGAGAAAGAAAAGGGCAAGGATAAGAGAAAGAACATATGGAACCGTATAAAGATATTGATGCAGCCGACATCCAAGTGGAGACCAGCGTCGCAAAATTCTTTCACGCCTTTTAGAACTTTAACGATTCCAATAGGTAACGATTCTTTATTAACTCAAATGACAATGATTTTGAACTTTGAATTATAATGTTTATAATATTAATATCTTGAAGGAGCCTCAGAAGCGTATAATTCGGTGCGAGATACGATTATTTTGATGAACGGTCAGCCGATGGTGCGATCACCCAGCGTCATTCCATCTGCTCAGAAACTCCCCGGACCGTCGATTCTTAAAAATTCTAGCAAAACTGATCTGATTACCTCACAGCAAGTGTGACGCGACGTTCATTTTACGTCCGATGACGATACCTCAATAGAATCATGCTGAAGATATAATATGCCCAACATAAAGTAAGCTTATTTTGACATGAATAAGCATTCTTATAATGTCAACAAATATATTTTATCAATTATGATTGATTAAACAAATTATTTTTTATTATTTGATTCGATTTATATATATATACAAGAAGTATAAAATTTTGAATTTTTATAAACTCGAGTTTTATTAAAAATTATATAACTTTTATTGGGCATGATCTTCACGATCGATTGCATTCAAGAAATTAAAGAAATAATATATTTTTTAACTATACAGTTTACTAATATTTGTAAAAAGATCCTTTATTCTTTTATGACAAATTAAAATTGCAATACTTTGCACTGATAAAGAAGAACATCTATCAAGTAATTTCTTGATATTGACAGCGGAACTTAAATATATTAGATATTAAATTTTTAATGGCGAAGAGATGTTACGAAATGTAAAACTGTCAGTACTTAAAAAAGTTGGAAAGGATTGTAAAAAGTGACATATAGACAGTATTATTATTTTAAAGAGCAAACATTTTATTAAATGTCTACTAAATATAATGAAAGGTATCACATACGAAAAAATTGTTTCACGATAGAAAAATATTTATTTTTGAAAATTGGACCATTTTCATTGTGAAGAAAATATAAATTTCATGTATGTATATACGTGAAAATACGTTTATAATTACATTTCGCAAATAAAACAAAAAAATTAAAGAAAGAAGTAGGCAGTGTGAAAAGATAAAAAGAAGTCGAGATATATACTCGATGTATATATTTCTTGATAATTGTAAATATAAGTGTCTAGAGATATATTGTAGATAGATACTGTGGATACTTCTTGTAGATATAGATTGTCCAAAGAGATTAGATATTAGATATTATAGATACATATCTCTTTGACGTGTAAAGACATTCAGGGAATAAATTAGACATTTTGGATACGATAAAGAAAATGATAACAAGAAGTACCTACAAGGAAAATCGCAAGAGTTTGTAACTTATAGGGAACTATTGTAACTTATTGAGAAGGAAGTATAGACTTATTAATGAGTAATAATTCATAACGGGAAAAATCGCGATCTTTATTTTTATGAAAAGTATTTTTTGAATAATTTTAAGCTGATAATCTAGCAGATGATTTGTATCTCAACTGACATCTTGATAACTTTTTCAAGGAAAACTTGACTCGGGATAAGTGAAAAACTTTGTAAGTAAAAAGAGTGGCCTTCTCTGAAAGAAATTTTGCATATGAAAACACGAATATCTATAATATCTATATGCCAATTATTCCAAGCGTATCTTACTTGGAATAATCTTCACTTTTACTGCGTAATACGCCACGTCAGAAAGTCAGTGTATACTAATCTTTGCACTTTCATTTTGAGTGCAAGATATTTTTGAAATTTTTATCCTGTTTGAATCTTACGAACTAAACGGATCGTCAGTCGCTTAATGCCTAGAAATTAGCAGTTGACAAATTGGATATCAAAAACTTTTATTCATAACGAGAATCAAAAATAACTTCAAAATTAGGAATTCAAAGGCTTTAGTGATAGAGATAATACTTTAGTGATAGAGATAATACTTTAGTGATAGAGATAATAAATGTAAATGACTCGAAAACTAAAGAAATTTATGACGATTTTTAAACCATTGCGAATAATGCACGAATTGTAGAATTGAACGTATATACTGTCACGTATCTTAGCGAGCTTGAAGCAAAAAAAAAAGAGATGAGACAAATTTATTTTAACAAGCCATGTTTTAAGATCGCAAAATTTAAAAGTTAGAGCCAATGTCATACTGTTTCCCTCCTCGGCAAATGTTTCCTCAAGCCAGTTGAATGTCCAATAACTTTAATGTTTTTTGCAGACCATGCACTGGTTAACTAATGTGACGCGACTTCCCACACAATGATAGTAAAAATACCTCACTGTATGAAATAATGACAATTAATATAATGTTTAGTCACTGTTGCTAGTTCTCTTATCGGCCAAGTGAGATGGTTGACTGTTTTAATAATAAGTAAGATTATATAAGAGCAGTAACGCATTACGAATCGTGATAATTTAGTGATGACACGATGGTATCATATCAATATCAAATCAGATAACAATCAACAAATTAATTATTTGTTGATTGTTATTAAAGAGTGAGTGATTGAAGAAATAATTTCTTTTCAAATACGTCACGTTGTGATACTTTGTACCTTTCGATAATATCAAGTAAAAATTTTTCTAAAAATTAAAAGAAATGGATAGAACAACTAAAAGTTTTATTTTGCTGTACAGTCATACTGAAATACTTAAGAATCTGTCATCGCGGTGATGGTTACGATTCTAATGTCGTTACGAACAACCAGTAGAGCGAACAACCAGTACAAATTAATGTATCCTAGTTGCAGCATCTGATAGGAAAAAGATGCTTTCTTTTAGAGGAAGCCTCTTTTCTTCATGAAAGAAAATTAATGGAAAAGGAAATTTTTTTCTCAAAAGTATTTGCAGTAGATCCGCGCAAGGGAAAAGTATTTTTTTACATAAATAACGGTGGCATAAATATTGTCATTAGAACAAATATTTCTGCAAAAAAAATAATTTTATTGTAGAACCAAAGATGATATTTTAGTTGTCTTAATGTAGATGATATTTTAGTAGTCTTAATGTAGAACATGCTGAACGGCGTACAATCAGGATACAATTAATAATGCCTTGAATGAATATATATACAGTATTAGGAGAGAGACTTATACAATATGAAGAAAGATAGAAATGATTATATCGTACATATGTCTTGAATAGATAACAAAGAACATATGTATATATTGACGTACTGCTTCATAATTTAAGTAGTCTGTTTAAAATTAAAAAAAAAACAAATAGAGAGAACTGGATTCTCTCAAAAGATGAAAGTTGTTAACAATAGTTTAGAATAATAATTGCGTGTTAATATATATGTGAGTAATACATATATATCATGTACCCATATAGTACAGAATTTGCAGTAATATCGCTGCATAATAACATTGCAATGTTACTGCAATGTTGCAGCATTGTTGCTGCAACTTTTGTGTTGTAGGGGTATAAAGATATTGAAAAATATCAAATAAATATGTTGTGTTATTATATATGTACATTGGGTTATAAAAAAATATATGTATATGTTACGAACACATCCACAAACATACTTACATATGCATGCGTGTGCATATGTGTAAATGATGTGTAATAAACATATGTTGTGTGTCATCCATAAAGTGTTGATATACATGGCCATTAGATCTCCATTGGCTTTCGTTACAATTGATTTCTAATATGACACCTCCTTCTTCAATTCATACAAACAACATCCCTGAAGGGACCGACAAGGTATAACATTCAAATAACTGGGATTAATTCTACAATCTTTGGCTTTTCACCGTTCCGTTGGATATTTTACAAGAGCTGCGTCGAGAATAATTAAGTCATTCGCCGAAATTAAACTTCATAACCGTTAGTCTTTCAAGCAAAACTTAATCAGTTTAATAATTCCGGAGGCAATTTAATTTTTCACCGATCGATTGAGTAAGCATTTTACTTCTGGACTACTACTTTCGTACGTCTTTCGTTCGCGTCTTGACGTAATTAAATCTTCTTTTAGATCTCTGTCAGACTTTGTCGATAGGCCTTACGAATCGCTCGAAGGTGGTCCGAATACAACTCTGCACCTCGAAACGGTGCCGAGTATCGGTTTCAAGAGTACGAAAAAACCCGCGAAGAACAGCGACGCGAACGTCAAGTCTCTTCCGGTGCTGGTACCACCGGAGTTAAACCACCAATGGGTGTAGATTCCGGTGATGAGGGTAGCCAATAAAAGAATGGTTATGCTGATGCCACCGCAAGCGTGAGCAACCTTGATGAGCACCGGCCTTACGCGCGGATATATCCAAACGGTGTTGTTCGCCAGGACTCCGAAAGCAGCGGTCAGGAAGGATAGTATAATCGTTGTTAAGCCCAGCTGCGAGTGAGTTGTTGCAAAATGGGATCTATTATAGTTGACTTTGTTAACAATGATGATAATAAAACCGATCCCGATTAGGGTCAGGCCAATTGTGTGTAGAATCCAGTGTATTGTCACTCTGTTACGCCTGGGTAGCTTCCAAGCGATGTATGCTTCACCGGAGACGCTGAAGACAGCCTCTGTGATTAGAAGACCGACCTTCGCCACGAGATGGAGAAATATTAAATTTTTATACAATCTTGGAATAAAAAGATTAAACGCTTTGTTTAATCATTAGACTTTAACTGATTATTATTATCGTGATAAAATACATCTATATAACAACACACTAATTGACTAGAAATTAAATTGACTTTCGATTTTTCTGAAATATTCAAGAGGTTTTCTCTTTTCTTTTTTTTCTATACTTACCCCAACAGACATACAAATCGGATGCCAAGAGAAGAAACTGTAGTTTCCAAAGGCAATTACCAAGATATAGATCACCGGGGCCACGAGTAGAAAATGCGTCAGTATTGAGAAGCCGAATGTTATGGCGCTCGGCGGCCCTTTGTTACTTTCGTTGCTCATGTCGAGAAGAAAGCGATGATATTTCTTTGATACCTGACATAATAAAAAGAGATTTTCACTGTTAAATTCATAATGTCAAACTATACTCAATTTGAGTTATCTCGAATTCTATAGATCGCTATTGCTTCTACTCTATATGACATTAATTGAATTAAAACAATGTTGAACAATTTAACTCGAGAAACTGTATTAAATTAGACTCAAATTTAGTTTACTATTTACTAAGATAATATTGCTTACTTTGAAATTTTCCATAGAAATGGATTGATTTACATTTTGACACACGTGGAAGTTAAAAATAGAAAAAAACATACGATTAAATAAGTATTTAAAAATTAATATTAAGCAGCAAGATATTTTAAGATTTCACAAAATATTTTTATAAATTTCTCCTGTCACATTTCACTTAGAATTTATGGATAATATTATTTTACTAAATATTTTATTCCCTGTATCCCACATTCCTATTATATGGGAAGAGGAAAGGTTTTTTGAGAATCGCTGCAGCCAGGGTCCAGAAGAAGTTCAACCCAGCACTGCTGGGTAACCGTAAAGTTCTATGGACGCTGTCTGTCTTTTTACGTAATTCCTTGTAATTATTAAGAAGCTCTGAATGTACGATGCGTGATTCATCTTTAATTGTACAGTGCGATTTCTCGCGTCTTCCAACATATCTATCTTTCAGTCTTGTTATCTTAGTTTACTCGCTTGAGTTTTATATTTGCACATATACGCGATTACTTGATTAAGTATGTATAAATAAAAAAATAAATAAATCATATGCATTTATAAATATAAATGATAAACTTTTTATCACGCATGTATAAAGCTTACTAGTTCTGGAACACACAATATCTCTCATGTTATGTTTTACAGACGTAAGGAAGATATCAAATGATTTCCGTTACAACTGGAATTTATATTTTAAAAAGTAATTTAAAATAATATTTATAATATTATATATATATGATACATACATACTTACTTAAGATGTAATTTGTACGGTGTTAAATTAACAAAAGGAGTTATTTACAAAAAAATACTATTATTTCTTACAATTAAACAAACAACACGCATAAGTATATTGTTTGGTAAGCCAAACGCTATTAACCAAGAAAGATCGAGGCATTAGTTAAGCGATAAAATTCAGACCCTCATAACAATTCGTTTCGTTAATGACTCGATAACCAACGATAAGAAATGCTCGTTGAACAACGACGTAAAAATGTCATTCAATTCAGTATATTGCGGAATGTAAAAGTGCATTTGTATGTGCCCTTGCATTCCAATGATTATGTAAATGTCAAAAATTGCAATAATAATGGCAAAAAAAGCAATTTCTAAAGAATTTCTTTTTAGTAGAATTCTATTTAAAGTATATTAAAATTAACTTTAAATTATTTTTATTTATATTAAATATAAAAAATTCATTAGATTCTTTTTTCAAGAACAAGTTTGCAAATATTATTAAGGATAATAATAAATTTTTCTTTATTAAAAAATATAAATTTTTTGGCATTATAAGGAATAAAAAATCTTTCTCTCTAAAAGGATCAGCATTCATAAAAATTATTTAAAAGCCTTTTGCATCATAATATACTTTATTTTTAAATCAATATCATAAAAAATAAATAACAAATAATATTAAATTAATACATATCTATTAATTATAACAATAATTTTTCACTTTAATTCTATAGCATGTTATCTACAACAAATATTTATCTTGAATTCATACAACAAATATTTATCTCGAATTTACACACAAAATATTTATCTCGAAATGATACATATTTTATATATCTGCGTTTTTCACATTATTTCAATTTGCACTTATTATTTGATGTGACCTTATTGTGAGAAATCTTGTATGTACGCGAGTGTATGTATGTACATATAAAAAGTATCACAAGTATTATTTCAATTATATTCTTTATGCAAATTTAAAGTCAATATTTTAAAAATAAAATTCTACAAGTAATAATTGTTTGTACTTTCCGTTATTAAATATTTATATGATGTATCCTTAATTAATTAATTTTCTATCAATACACTTAATTAATTAATTTTGTGCTAGCAGCGTTAATTAATCAATTAATCATTCAACGTTAATTAAACAACTCTTTTAATATATAATTAACATTAAACGAAGAATATTATATGTTATATGTTTGCTCGTATTTACTAACATGTTTGTAAAATTTCTTTGGTTTGGTGATCAATCACAATTGGAAAATTATCAACTTTGTGACAATAAAGTAATTAAAAACAGATACTCGTGCGAAACATCAAGTATACATAGCGTGATGTTATGTCATTAGTCAATCTAATTAATCTTCTCCCTCTCTCTTTTTTCTAAAATAAGTACTACAATAATAAACAGCAATATATGTACATATATATTATATTCACCATGATGTTTGATACAGTAAGGTGTCACGCTTATGCTACAACAATTCTTACGAGAAAGTCACCAAACGATAATTTGGTTGACTCACCGCGTTGAACACCGTTCGACTGCTACATAAAGTTGTCGCCGGCCTTAAAAGAGGAAGCTTCGTAAAAAAAAGGGACCAAACAGGAACTCTCTCTCTCTCTCTCTCTCTCGAGCCGTTTCGATCAGCGTGGAGCAGCTAATCGAGTAACACACGCGCGCAATCGCGTTCGTGACGTGACTGAGCGTCTGGAATATGGCGATCTAGGCTGTGGATCCATGGATCATTATCGTGGCGTCGCTGGCCGATGAGGAAACATCGCGGCCTTGCAGTGTCGGAGCGTATGGCGTTGCCGGACCAATCGCCTAGATAGAAAACACTTGATGGAATCATAGCTCTCCGCCTTCTGTCCTCGAAACCAAAATTTCCCTGAAATTCTCTTTACTCCCTGATGCCTGAAATTTTCTGGCGAGGCGATCGAATGGAACGGCATCGAATGGGAAAATCGTGGAAAATCACGTTACATGTCGGTCGGGCCCGAAAACGAGGCGGTTCGACGTTGCGGCCTTGGTACGAGCGGCCGCAACGCACGCACACTTTTCGATCGCGTAAGCGCTGGTAAGGCGCAAGTATGCACGCTCCATAAATTTACAAGGCATCCGCATAATGCAGCCAAAGAAAACCGAGAGAGAACTCGCGCGGGAAATGCTTTATAACTCCTCATTATCTGACGTATCTTGAAACTTTTTGCGGAGTTGAAAGGAAGAGAGAGAGAGAGAGAGAGAGAGAGAGAGAGAGAGAGAGAGAGAGAGAGAGAGAGAAACAA